ATTGATACACATGCGCGCTGCAACACATATGCGTTGACTTAGTGCACTGGGATGCAATTCTAAATTAATGGCACCACAACGCAACAACCCATGTAATGTGTGTTGCATTAAACTGCACGTCACCAAAGCACAAATACATTAATGGGTCATGTGTTTTGCCCCCATGCAAGGCACAGCAACAGGTCCACTTTAATGGCAGACCAACCAGTCGCTCTCTTCAGCAACTGGAATTAAAGGAAGCCCTGTGTGTTGTGACTGGGACCCTACACAAGGCTGAAGACTCTCTTCCCCCCATGTGACAGAATGGGTGGTTGGCGAAGGGCTGTGAAGGTACCCAGCGTTGTGACATGGGGGAAGGGGGCAGAGACGGAATGCGGTTATTTATCCAATTGTCAAGGCTGGACCAGTGCTAAGTATCTAACTGGATCACAGCTGCGGAACCGATGGGGTCTTTGTTGGATAAGGAAGTTCAGTGAGCGACTCCCAGTTACATTAACTGCTAGAGGGAGATCGCACTCATCATATACTTCCTGTTAGGCTGGAGTGATGAATAAGCTAGGATGCTATAAAGGTAGTACCCCTTACCCCACACTCATATGCGGCAAGCTGTACATGTGCGGTACCAGCGTGCGGAGTATCAAATGGGGAGACAAGCAGTAAGAGTAGCTAAGGGTTAATCTCTAGCAAACAGAGCAGATGCATATATAGGATATGTAGGCAGAGCCAATGGGGAGGTAAATGGCAGGTTATTCAGCAACAGACAATTAGATGCACCACTATGCAGTTTTATCAGCAGGTAGCAAGCATGGGGGCAATATGTGGACAGATCTAATCCTCTCCAATATTAGACTCATCAGCAGACAACAGACTTTAGCACTATCACAACCCTTCATGGGTTAATATGGCAGTTTTAGAGGTTGTGTCAGTCCTACGTCTCTTTAGCAGGTATAGCCAACTGAAGGAGATGCAATCCGGATCAGCTGGGAACGCTTACTGGGTGTGTGTGTGAGATAGCAACACATAAGCAACATGCAAGCAAGCACTAACACATGTAGCAGGTTCAGCAAGTTTTGCAAAGACTTCCAGAATACTTGCGGTTGTGTGCTCTGAAATGTTCTGGGCTCACAGCGGGGTAGCAGTCTCAATTCGCCAGTTAGTGGTTCTGTGCAGTAATCTGTGTTGATAATCCACGGGCAGCCTGTGGGTTCTCTGTTCGTCACTCGACTCTCCACAACGAGAGAACGCCGAGCGACGAACCAGCTGACCTTTTACCTTGGTAGCCGCGCCCCGTGGGAGGAGCCGCCGTGACGTCACGCACGAGACGACCCTTCGCTGGAGCGCGGGGACACGCCGAGTAAGTCTGTGACACCAATTAGGATCCAAAATATCCAATTAGGGTTTTCTGACATCACCATACACGTTTCAGGTCAGCAGCTTCAAGTACTAAAGCGAACACAGCTAGGCAACCAGAATTATCAGGAGGAGACCGTCTATGTGTGCTCTGACAATGGGGGGGAGGGGTTATATGGTAGGCAATCACATTCTCTTACAGTGAATCTGTGGTTGCCAATATAGGGTACAGCAACGAAAATTCCCGCCTATAGCAGGTAGGAAGGAGCATGCTACTTCCTTTTCTCTCATGTGTGTGAATCTGTGGTTGCCGATGCAGGGTACAGCAATGGGTTCACTTTGATGCCCCCCATTCCTAGCTGCACACTCACCTTTACTTCACTCCCACTCTGCTTTGTTTAGCTGCTGGGAGCACAATTCCCGCCTGCTGCAGGTAGGCAGCAGCATGCTACACCCCTTTCTCTCATGTGTGTGAATCTGTGGTTGCCAATGCAGGGTACAGCAATGGGTTCACTTTGATGCCCCCCATCCCCAGCTTCACACACTCACCTTTACTTCATTCTCGCTCTGCTTTGTTCAGCCACTGGAAGCAAAGACAATTACCGCCTGATGCAGTTAGGGAGGAGCATGCTACTCCTCTTTCGCTCATGTGACAGCACGGGTGCCCAGAGATTGGTTCATCGCTGTCCCATGGGGTCAGGGAGAATTCTTAGCCCTGTGTAAGCTCTGTCAGCATGCTCCTTGTAGTGCAGCGCACCTGACTGGCTCCTCGTGCTGCTTCTCCCTCTCTTTCCGGAGCTCTGTCATAGAGATTAAAAGCAAGCTTTCAAATAATATCAACGTATGTGAAAGTGGAAGAAATTCCGACACACAATGATTACATATATAAAAATGAATAACTCCAATACGTGATCCTCACATATATTCTTTTTTACACGTTACATTTTTATTTTTGTGGCAAATTTTCCACTGGCATAGAAATACAGTAAACCGTACAGACAATAGCAGTGCAAATTTCACTTGACACAGTGTGCTTATATGCATCTTCTTCTTTACGCTGAGGAGGTGCAGAGTGAGCAGTAGTGGTAATGCCATTTAAAGGGTCAGTCCACCCAGACTGATATTTTGGTTGGTACCAGAGCAACAAACACCAACGGCTTCATATACATCGCAGGAGTCTCAAAGTAAGAGCTGCACTTGACCTCTTGCTCTGTTTAATGGTTTCTGCTATCATAAGAGAGCCCCACTCTTCCTGTTCTATTGTCTACTTACTTCAATAACAAGAATTTAACACGGACCATGGGAACATGCAAGGTGGGCAAGAAAGCCCAGAACTTCAACATGGGTCAGGAAAGAATTAGGAACTGTGGTCAGAAGTGCAGGCGGGTGAGGACTGCTAGAGATAGAACTGTAGGTAACTCAACTTCATCTACAACTGAAATATCACTTCATATGTCTCACCAGGTTCCATTCTCTGCCTTGGACTCCCAAGAGGAGATCTCTAAACTCAAGTTCCCAGCTTCACCCCAACTGCTTTGGTCATTAGGCGGCTTTGTGTTCCCTTTCAGTTTGGTTTTATTTACAAATAATTTAAACAGAAGAAGTAAGACTCTATGGTATGTGTGGGGAAAGCTGGCAACTCCAGTGGAGAAATCAGTACTTGGGTCCCAAAGAGATGCAATGTGGTACCAGGGAGTTTCCTTGTCCGGCCAGGTCTTTGACATGGACATCTTTTTTGATAGGTGTTGGGTTTAGGTTTAGACATAGCCTGTGCATGGTTACCTTAACCTATCTGAAAGTCTAACTTAGTTCCTCTTTCCGCAACTTGCCTGTTTATACTGCTGACCACCATATTGTTTGTAGGCTTCTTCCAACCTTTGAGGCCAACCAACAGCCACCTAAAAGCAACAGAAGATTTAATTGCTTGGAGGCAGCACTGGTGCGAATATGTGGCTCTTATACAATCATTCCTATTTCCTGAACAATATGGGCAATTGAAAACCACCTAGGCCTTTTAACATAAATATGGGTGGTTGGCAATCAACCAGACCTTCTGCCAAGAATGCAAGAGGTTGGCAACCATGCAGACATTCTATCCTGAATATGGATGATTGTCAACCATATAAACCTTCCATCCTAAATATGCATGGTTGACCACCATGTAGACTTTCTATTCTAAATATGTGTGGTTGACAACCATGAAGAATTTCCATCCAGAATATGGGCGGCTGGCAATCACCTAGACTGCCCACCCTGATTATGGATGGTTGGCAATTACCCAGACCTTCCATCCTGAATATACAGTAGGTGGTTGTCAGTCACCGAAACTATACACCCTTAATATAGGTGGTTGTAAATTACACCCACACCCTTGGTAGGCAACCACACAGACCTTCCATCATAAATATGGTTGGCTGGTAAACACCCAGACTTTCTACTCTGAATATGGGTGGTTGGCAACCACCCAGACCTTACATTCTAAACATGAGCCTTCATCATCTGATGGTTATTACTCAGCACTGCATGTTAGGAACATATGTCAAATACAAGGCCCGCAGGCCAGAAACTGATTTTTTTTTAGGCCTGCATGTCCCAAGCTGTGTACCGGCAAACAAGTTAATTTTTTTTTTTACCAGCTGGCCGCCCTCTGAGGACCCCGAACCTCCCTGTCTCTCTTCGGCACCTCCCTCCTCGGCCACAGGTTTCTGCTCGCCCACACCTCCTCCTGGGGCGCTCATGCTGGGTTTCTCATCGACCAGCACGTTCCTCTGCCTCTGGTCTCAGCACCTACTGGTAAATCCCGCTGTGTGTATCCACGACTGAGTGTGAGGGCACTACAAGTGTCAACTGTCCCTGTCCATTTAATGTGCCCTCACACCCAGGAGTGCCATATAATGGACAAAACATTTGTAGTGCCCCCACACACAGGGCACCAGGACAGTCATATCAACATTACATGACAGTCCTGGTGTCCTGTGTGTGAGGACACTACAAGTGTCAGTAGTCCCTGTCCATTATATTACAATCCTGGTGTCCTGTGTGAGAGGCACTACAAGTGTCAGCTGTCCTTGTCCATTTAATGGACAGGGGCTGCTGACACTCGTAGTACCCTCACACACATGACACCAGGACTGTCCTATGATGATTAGTGGGCCCAAGCTTTGTTCCGTGGCCCAGTTAATTTTTCATTTCTTCTTTATGTCCGGCCCCGGATTTTATACACAACCCCTTAGCATGGCCTTTAGTAAGTTTGGATTTGACGCCCCTGATCTTAGGCCTCTGCACTGCACATCTGCCCTAATAAAGAAAGCCTTAAAAGACTGCTGGACATCAACAGGTTAGTGTGGCCGCCCATGGCCTGGATTGAGGTTTGTCTGTTCATGCCCTGAATTGCTCCTTTGATGGTTTGGAATGCGTATGTACTCAGCTTGTCTGTGCTGATCCTAATCATGGGCCTGTTACCCCTGTTATTGTCAATCTGTGCTCTGTCTACCGATCTATAACCTGTACTTGCTCTAACTATTTCTGACAACTCACACTGCTCAAGCATCGGTGCTGCCCGTTAGTTGGTTATTGCCCCTTGTGACACACTAGGTCCACTGAAGTCCGTGACACTAACCAAAATATCTTTCTGGGTGATACAGAGTGCACAGGAAGCAGGCAGAACCACGATTCACTGCAGGGGTCACACCTCCCCTCTGGCATGTTGTATGTAGTGTTCGTGCAGCCCACCTTCATGCTGGAAGGAAACCCCACAATCGATACATTTAAATTCCCCTTTTTCCTCCCACCTATCCGTCTCCTTGCGGAGAGTTCTCATATCCTCGCGGTGAGTTCTCAGATGCCGCCTGTAATTTGACGCCTGGCTGAAACTCTTTTCGCACAAGTCACATGGAAAGGGCCTCTTACCTACATGGATAGCCCAGTGCCGCTGATAATTAGACCGTTGGTTAAATCGCTTTCCGCACTGCTGGCATTGAAAGGGTTTCTCGCCTGTGTGAACACGCAAGTGGCGCTTATAGCGGGAGGAGAAGAAAAAAGTCTTGCCGCACACGGGGCAAGTGTGCGGCTTCCGTGAAATGTGCAACTTCCTGTGCTTCTCGAAGGTGCATTGGGCCCGAAACCTTCGCCCGCAGTCCTTGCACTGGTAGGGTTTGGGATCCTCGTGAGTCCACTGGTGGACACGGAGGGTCTCTAGCTGTGTAAACGCTTGCGGGCAATCTGGACACTGATAGGGTCGCTCCCCTGTGTGTATACGCATATGGCGTGACAGTTTTGCCGAGCAGTTGAAAGCTTTGCTGCACCAAATACATGTCCTGTCCTTGCGGTGAGTTTGCTGGTGTCTTCGGAATGCTGGTTGGCTGGGCAGCTGTTTGCCACACTGTGAACATTGGTAGCCTCGCTGCCCCGTGTGTTGCTGTTCGTGATGGCTGTGAAGTGCTAGTAACCAGCAGAAGCGCCGTCCACAATGAGAGCAGGAATAGGGCTTTCCGCTGCCTTCTGTAGCTCTGGCACGGGCTGTGTCGCAGTCCTTGCAGGTGTAGGAGAGATCGGCTGAGTGGTTGCGCCGATGCAGGTTATGGGCGCGAAGGGTTTGGAATGTACGACCGCAGTCGGGGCAAGGAGGAGGCGGGGAGTCTTCTGGTGCCGAGTGGCCATCTGGATGGTCCATTAATAGCTCTGCAACAAAAAATTTAACAGCCAACTGACACCTAAAGAATATCGAAGGCCAACACAAGAAAAAGGGAACATATGTCTAAAGCCAAAATATTTATTTTAGTTTTGTATGCAGTAAGAATTGTTTTCTGAGCGGATTTTACCTAGCGGTGCTGACCTGCAAAAGAGATTAATGCCCAACTCTGGGCTCTGTTCCCCCTACCCTCTGACCATATGTTATGTTTTTATTTTGCTTATATACTTACTAGGGATGCACCAACATTTTGGCCACAAAAGCATTTCAGCCGAAAATGGTATTATGGGTAAAATGCCAATGGTAACAAAAACAGACGAAATTGCGGTGCATCCCTAGCTTCTCTCCTCCCCACTGGACGAAGGCTGCAAGCTTCAGTCTGTGTCCCCTCCGATTCCTGCTGCTCTCCCCTGCCTGTGTCGGCAAGGGCAGCAGGGATCAGAGGGGACACAGAGCCGACCCAGCTGATGGCTCCCACCGGGGGGGAGGAGAAAGCTGTCAGGAGGCCAAACACTGCAGAGGCGACGAAGCTTCAGGATTGGTAAATATTTACCCATCCTTCGTGGTACTGAGCAAACACTGAGTGATCAGTACTGATCACTCAGTGTTTGTAAATAACTGATGTTTCCAGTTATGAATGAACAGGAAGTGCTATACATCACTTCCTGTTCATTTATGAATGGGGACAGTCAATATTTACTATCTGCTCACTTTATGAATGAACAGGAAGCAGCTCGGTACAGAGGCTTCCTGTCCATTCAAGACTCGGTTGATAGTAAATATTTACTATCTCCAAAATGTGATTGAACAGGAAGCCTCTGTACTAAGAGCTTCCTGTTCATTCAGAGCTGGGGCTGCAGAAAAGGAGACTAAGAACTCTGTGTCCTCAATCTCTTCCATTTTAAAAGGGAAACAGACCCCTGATATTTCTCCAAAGTGACTAAACAGTATAGTTAAAAAAAAAAAATTAAAATTGTCGGTTTCAGCCTGACAAATTTTCAAGTTTCCCTAAAATCCCTAATTCTTACCTATTCCAAAGTGGCTGGGCCAGTCACGTGACACTGCAGGGGTCTCTTCATCTTCCCTCTCTCTGGGCTAGGCGGTCTTTACTGATGCAGACATGATGGCATGAGCGCGTCTTTCGGCAGCAGTGCATTGTGCAAAAAAGGCTCCATGGTGATGCCTCATCAGTAGGCGGAGCCTTGACACCCTGCACTCACTGCCCAGGATATAAACCGAAAAACTGATGACATCTTGTGGCAAAGAAGTGGTACTGCGAGGGACAGCTGCGGAGTATTGCAGCCAGTGCTGCTATTTGTTTTAGCATCTGGGGGGACCTTTAAAAAATTCAAAGTTTTGCCTTGAACTGGGCTTTAATTTCTCGGAAAAGGCAAAAATCGCCATTTTCACGCAAAACAGCCTGCTCAATCCTAGCCGCTACGACACCGCGAGGAAAGTTAGCAAAACCATTAGCTGCTTCTATTTTGGCAACCCAAACAGAGCCTTTATATTAAAACAATCTCCTGCTGTGTACAATAATTAGAGCAGAGTTCCCTAACCTGAACGCCGTAACTTCATATTTCAGGTGGCGATTAACAATGTGTCCCGTGACATCGTTACCCAGGATAAACTTTATAAACAAAGACATCAATTATTTAAAAACGACTTCTTTGTTTAAATGTCACTCGGTGGAATTAACAAGGCCCCTCCGTCGAGATCTGCAGTCAAGCAGAATTTAGCAGTCGATAATAAGAACAGATTGCAATTATACTCATCAGAATGCGGAATGCTGCGAGAAACTGAATTCATTAATGCTAATTAGGAGCAGGTTTTTTTTTTTAACTGTAATTCAGGCATAGGGAACCTGCAGGCTGCCTAGTAGCTGAGGAACTACAATCATCAGCATCTCCCCTAGACAGCTATAATAAATGATGGAGCCTATTTATATTGGTGATATCTATCACCCCCCTTCTGGGTTTGCTTATCTGAAATATGCCTTTTTCATACATTTATATACAGCATGCAAAGCCTATTAAAAGCATTTCGAAACAATTCTTTGTGGTTTAAGGGCTACTTTACACTTGACCCATAGGGCAGGGCTCAAAATGTCAGGTCCTGACGTACTAGCCAGGCCTTAAAAGTTACTTGCCACCATTTGCCCTGCCTGAACCCCCCCTTATCCTGCCTGCCTCCCCTCCTTTAACCTCACCCTCTTCCACCTTTAATTCCACCATTTCAAACACAACATACACACACAGCACAACACATGACATATCACACAAACACAGGGCATTACACACATAGCACAACGCATGACATATCAGACAAACACAGCAAACACAAGGCATTACACACATAGCACAACATACAACATATTACACACACAGCACAACTCCCAGCATATCACGCATAGGGCATCACACACACACAGAGCATAAGACACAGAGTACACAGTATCACAGGGCATAATACACAGTGCACAGCATACAGAGCATAACGCATACACAGCACAACACACACAGCGCAAGGCACAGGGCATATTACACACACACACACACACACACACACACAGCATAAGACACACAGTGCCACAGGGCATAATGCACAGTGCACAGCATAACACATACACAGCACAACACACAGGACAAACACACACAGCGCAAGGCACAGGGCATAATGCACAGTGCACAGCATAACGCATACACAGCACAACACACAGGACAAAGACACAGCGCAAGGCACAGGGCATAATGCACAGGGCATAATGCACAGTGCACAGCATAACGCATACACAGCACAACACACAGGACAAAGACACACAGCGCAAGGCACAGGGCATATTACACACACAAGGCAAACGCAAGCACTCAGCACAACACACAATGCACTGGGCATTATACACACAACGTTACACATACACAGACAGCACAGCACACAGGGCATAACAAGCATACACATGCACATGGCACCCAGACCCATCTCTATGCCCCCCATCTAATTACTTGCTGGCAGGGACCTGGCACTTGAGCTTAAGCAAGGCCCACAGCATTTGTAGGGGCCCTCTAGCGCGTGGTCAGTTATTCCTCCCCTGGGCTTCCCGTGTGTATTTACCTGTTAAAGATGGCTGCATTGCTGCGGCCATCTTTGCTAAGGTTCATAACGCGGACCTAACTGTACGTCCGTGTACTTAAGGACCTTAGTAAAGATGGCAGTCGTCATGCGTCCATCTTTAACATGGGCAAGGTACATAGGTAATTTTTCACTCACCCCCACGCAATTTTCAGTTGCCAAAGTTAAAACTGACATGCTTTGCATCCTGACTTGAATAAGGACAAAAGCGTTCACACCGAAAAGCCGGCCGTACACCTATAGGTTATCTGCAGATTTTCTATGGCCAGATGGAAAAAGTGGAACAGATCCCTCCATCTACGCTAAACTGTGTGGATGAAGGAATCTCCCGCTAGGCCAAGCTTTAGTATCTTACTAGTCAGCCCGGCTGGCTCCCAAAATACCTGAACAATGTCTGCATCCAATCAGATTGTTCCGGTATTTTGTCAGAAAGTGGGGCCGACTAGTAAGATACTGAAGCTTGGCTCAATTGAGATTCCTCCATCCACACAGCTTAGCGTAGATGGAGGAATCCGTTGCACTTTTTCCATCTGGCCATAGAAAGTCTGCAGATAATCTATAGGCGTATGGCCAGCTTACAGCAGCATTTTCTCCAATGCAAAAGTGATGTAAAAGTTGACTGAGCAGAGCTGCAACAGTTACCAAGTCTTGGCAATACCAAGTCCCCAATTATCTCACCCATTCATACAGCCTGCAAGTGTGGGTGTCACTCTGAGCCCATAGATGTACATAACTGTGCCAGATCACCTGGTGTGGTGTCCCTCTGCCCATCGGATTTCTCTTCCCAGCAAGATTCTGAAGCGTCCTCCAATGACAAGGACATTTCTGTGGATTCCCTACACTGGAAACTGGCCTAGTGGGAAAAAAAAAAAAGAATTTGACAATTTAACTAAAGCTGGACCGCAGGCAAAAACACTAAATACATATAAGAGAGCTGGCAGGGGTTTTGTATTCCTGTCTATCCAGTTCTGAGATTCACACAGCCTGCCACACAACACAGCCAGAAGCATGACAATAAGCTCACTGTTACAAGTATAGAGTGAAGAAAGGATTCAGTGGTGTCCACTCTGCACTCCGAACCTGCTATCTGTACATAGGTGTCAGTCACGTTAAAAACGTTTATAGCTCATCAGTTCAGAGGTAACTTTAAATGATAGGCCAGGAAAGAGTCCACTCCGCCTGGGGTGCACACGGATACCCAGCATGTGTTTTGTAATCGGCATTTACGTATGCACGTGAATCCTAGGTGGACGTATGTTTAAGTGTATGCATGCATGCATGATGGGGCCAGGTTCTCTTCTGGGGTAACTGCAGACAGAGGAAATTGGGGAACGGATTTTCCCTGATACCCCCCCCCCATTCTGAGATGATTTTCAACTGGTGACAGCGGGCATTGTTGAGCCCGGGGATTGTGGCACAGGGGAGGGTGGAGAGGGATCAGGAAATAGGGGGCAGCCCCTGTAGAAGTGGTCAGGTGACTTTACAGCTTGTGTAGGGTATAGTCCACATCAGAGTTTTGCAGATTCACCGATGTTGGCTATACCCCACACAGCAAGTAATTATTCCCTGGTGATTTGTGCCAGTTTTTGAGTCCACAATACTACCAATCATGTTCAATCCCTGCAGAAGGGGCAGGAGCCACCGAAACGTGTTGGCTGTTCTGTGTTGGCCCTTATAAACCCATTCCATTATTAAATGTTTTTGGACTCTCATTGTGTCTTGTTTGGCGCTCTCATTGGACTGTATATATGCTTGAGCTTGTTGAAGTCCTTTAAATGCCACGAAGAGTAGGACACGTCCTTGGCAGTGAAAGGACTCATTTGCACCATTGCATTGCCATTGTGCACATCTTATCTGCTGCAGTGTAGTTCATGTAAATGGCACTGCAGGGCAGCTTGAAGACGCATGTGCGCTGCAATGTATGGAAGAGCACCACAAGGCACGGTGTCCTGTGTGGTACACGGTGAACAAATGCAGTCTGCACCTTTTTTTGTGCTTTCCAGCCCATTCCATTGGAATAAGCTGCCTAAATCCTGTCCAGTTCCATTAGCATGAGCTGCCTAAAGCCCGTTCCATTTGAATGGGCTACTTAAATCCCATTCCATTGGAATGAGCTGCCTAAGTCCCGTCCTGTTCCATTAGAATGAGCTGCCTAAATCCCGTCCTGTTCCATTAGAATGAGCTGCCTAAAGCCCGTTCCATTGGAAGGAGCTGCCTAAATCCAGTCCTGTTCCATTAGAATGAGCTGCCTAAAGCCCGTTCCATTGGAAGGAGCTGCCTAAATCCCGCTCCATTGAAAGGAGCTGCCTAAATCCCGTTCCACTGGAAGGAGCTGCCTAAATCCCGTTCCACTGGAAGGAGCTGCCTAAATCCCGTTCCATTGGAAGGAGCTGCCTAAAGCCCGTCCCGTTCCTTTGGAATGAGCTGCCTAAATTCCGTTCCATTGGAAGGAGCTGCCTAAATCCGGTTCCATTGGAATGAGCGGCCTAAATTCCGTTCCATTGGAATGAGCCGCCTAAATCCAGTCCCGTTCCATTGGAATGAGCTGCCTAAATCCCGTTCCATTGGAATGAGCTGCCTAAATCCCGTTCCATTGGAAGGTGCTGCCTAAATCCCGTTCCATTGGAATGAGCGACTTAAATCCCGTTCCATTGGAATGAGCGGCCTAAATCCCGTTCCATTAGAAGGAGCTGCCTAAAGACCATTCAACGCAAATAGGCTGACTAAAGCCCATTTAATCCGAATGAGCCTCCTGAAGTTCATTCAATCCAAATGGGCCACATAAAGCCCATGCAATCCAAATGGGATGCCTAAAAGCCCATTTAAGGTTCCTCAATGCATGGAAGCACATGCCTTGCAGAGCACTGCATTGTGGTCTAAATGGGCCCAAAGGCTTAAAAGAGACGCTGTTGCCTAGCTTATTTAGTGCAAGGGGACAGTGTCTCTGCTAAGGGCCCCCGACTTACCTATATTTATCTCACCAAAATTCCCTAGCCTCCTCCATATCTGGTGCTGTAAGCTGCTCTTAGCAGCCATCTTAGTCCCAGGCATGACACATCTCCGTATGTCATGCTGCATAGACCCTCTCCCTCCCGAAGCTAGCATTTCCACCACGTCCCCGGCAATGGCAGCTGCGGCTTTAACAGACACCAGCCGCTGCTCCGACCCTCTTCTGTCCTAGCGTGAAGAACCCTCATAAGGATTCTCGCCCATCTTCCCTGCCATAAAAGAAGAGAAATTGCTTTATTGAATTCCAATAAAACGTAATGGAGAAATCAAAAAAAGAGGCGGGACCGAAGCAAATGCATGAATCGTTGAACAATATTAGATTTCAACAAATGTTCACAAGCAGACAGAGAAAGGGGAAGATCGGCCCGCTTGAAATGTTCTTTCAGCGGTCATAATTCACGTCGCGCATTTCATATAAAAGAACTGGAGCGCCAGAGTCTCGCGAATCTGAATTTTTTAACATCCCCAAAGAGGGAAAAAGTCGTTAGCCGGCCGTAAAAATGTGGACTTCTCCTTATTAATTCAACTCAGTGAACATTTAACCCTTGCGGTGCGGAGGGGCTCCACAGCAAGGGTAGATTTATTAAGAATCCCAGATTTTGACTCTACGGGCCCACAGAAAATGAAGAAGGTGCTCCGATGCAACGCATCAGAATACATACGTCAACATGCACATAGCTGTGTGAATAGGCCCTTATTAAAACCCGTGTTCAAAGAAATACAGGGCCTGCCATTGCTTACTTTAAAGAAGAATTCCAAGGGGCTACCCCCACACTGCAAGAGTTAACTGCTCTTTTTGGTCTAGGGGCCAGCATTCAGAAGATATACGAACCTGATCTACAATCCTGCGGCGGTGAGTGCAGTGGTGTATTTTGCTTTGGCGCTGCCCTAGGCAAGACTAAACCGAGCACCCCCCCCCCCCCCCCCTCGC